TTAGCCTCTGGCTTGTTGATAAAACTTAAGCAGGACCTTTTAATGTAGATTTTGGTTGTTTGTTTCTTACTACTTTAGACTGTTAGAAAGTAAAAGCTGTCAATCTCCAGAGTAACCGTCAGCCTCCCCAACCTCTCAGGTTAGGTGGACAGCCATGTCTTTATGGGTTTGCCATAATATTTCCATTGCACAAGAAGAGTAACTGAACTCTTCTTGGCTTTTAAGATCCTTGGTCTTTACCTAACTTTCTTTTTCTTTAAAATAATCCCAACTGATTTTCTGAGACCTTCTCAAAACAACTGGATTTAATCTCAGAAAAGATACACAGACAGGATCTTGTGACTTCTGCTTGCAGGAAGTTGCACTGGATTTTATGTTGGGATCCTAGAGTAAAGGGGGGAGGGCAGGCTTTTCACGTATTTATTCATACAATCTAAAAACTCTGAATGTCTTTGCTATTAGGGCAACACAGAACACAACAGATTATAGTTGTAACATGCTGAAATTAGGGATAAGTCAAAGCATAATGAATGCTACATATAATATATCAGTCCTCCTGTTAGGTTAAACCATGCAGAGGTTTGGTTCAGTTGCACGGCTGTGGGGTGGTTAATAGATGACAGCTGAAAATGTGCCACTGTGCAGGATTCCTGCTTTCTGCTGAGTGAGTTGCGTACAATAGCATCATCATGTGACAGCTGTCAGCTGGCAAGCAGCTGTGGTTACTCTTTTTGTGCCGTGCCCGCCCTCATACTCATGTCTGCTTTGTTGACCGACTGTGCTTGGGTCTATTTTGCCAAAATTAAAGTAAAAAAGTAAAGTGGTCTTTTCTTGGGACAATTTCTATTCTACTTCTTCAACTCATTTTAGATAAATAAAACACCATTTTACATTAGATATCACCTCCAGGTAATTTACTAGACCAATTGGTATAGTAAATATAGATTTTTTAAAATTCAATTTGGCTCAAACTTGATTAGATTTTCCCCTGTTGATTCTAGTGTATATCAGAGAGCCCTTCTAGTCTTATAACCCTTATTTTTGTTTTGCAGATTTCTGAGGAGTGGACTAAAGGTGTGTTCTTGATCAAACCTGAGGATGAAGACATTCATACAGCCAATGAGCGCAGGCTTAAGGTGATGTATAAGTCATCTTTTTTATTACAATGATAGTTATAGGGTGCTGCAAATACGTTATAGAATACATTATGTTTGACTGAACTTAAACCATTTGTCAGAACTAAAGTCATTATAATATTACCTAAGCATTTAGTTAGAAACAGAGATTTAAAAGCTATTCTTGCTTTGCTGCCTGTTTGTCTAGGAGCTCATTGGTGCTCCTGCAGGAAAGTTGCACACTGGCAGAAGCAGAAATGATCAGGTTGGTATGTTCGGCATGAAATCTGTAGTAAAGCTAATCTTGGGGAGAACTGAGACCCTGCTTTGATTGAACAGGTGGTGACAGACATGAGACTGTGGCTGCGAGATGCCCTCTCCATCCTAACAGACAATTCCCTGCAGCTGATCTCCACCATGGTGGAGCGGGCAGCAATGTAAGAGCGTATTAAACATAAATGGTTCCATCCCTGTTATTCTGCTTCGTTAAAACGGTTTTAATAACGACTATTGAAATTGCAGAGAAATTGACGTCCTTTTTCCTGGTTACACCCACATGCAGAGGGCTCAGCCAATCAGATGGAGCCACTGGATTCTGAGGTCTCCCAAAATCTGCTGAGTTGATCTCCCATTTATAATATTACAGGATGTTTACCTCAGTCGTTTCCTTCTTTCCTTTTCTCAGTTATGCTGTTGCTTTAAGCAGAGATGTGGACCGACTTCTGGAGATCAAGAAGAGAGCAAACATTTTACCTCTCGGCAGGTGCAGTGCAAACACTCCCTGCTAGACTGTGATCTTCATACAGAGGAGTGATCGAGTAACAACAATTATTCCTTTCGTCTTCAGTGGGGCTATCGCCGGCACACCGTTTGACATTGACAGAGAGCTTCTGCGGAGAGGTCAGACCAGTTCTTTCATCTGTGACAGAACACTAACACTTAAAACAACACAAAACATTTCTCCTTCCCCGGATGCGTAGAGTTGGGGTTTGATGGCATCAGTCTTAACAGCATGGACGCCACAGGCCAGAGAGACTTTGTTGGTATGTGAGTTCTACGTGTCAGACTGTTGGAAGCAACGATTTAAGTTTGTTTTTGAAAGTACTTGTTTTCTTGAAGCGGAGTTCTTGTTCTGGGCGTCTTTGTGTTTGACCCACCTGAGTAAGATGGCGGAGGATCTGATGCTGTACAGCACAAAGGAGTACTCCTTCATCACGCTCTCTGATGCCTACAGGTATAATAAGAATTTTACTTGAGAAAAAAAATCATCATATTTAAACGGATTTTACGAGATTCTGTTTTTCCCAAACAATGAATGCAAACATTGTGATAAATAAGACATTTGTAAAATAGTAACAAGCAAGAAAATGAATTGAAGGCTAAAGTACCAGGTGTAGGCTTCAGCCTGCCCTGCATACCTAGAACCAGAACTAAACATGGAGAAGCAGCATTTAGTTCCTATGCTCCACTTATCTGGAACAAACTTCCAGAAAACTGTAAAAGTGCGGAAAGCCTGACTTCCTTTATATCAAGACTAAAAACACATTTGTTTAGGATTGCCTTCGACTGTTCTAGTTAAACAGTTAAACTAAAACATATTTTCTTTAGTCCACCTGTTTTTAATATTCTTTTTTGTTTCTGCATTTTTTTTATTTTATTTTTTTTATTTATTTACTTATTTACTTATTTTATTTTTTCCTACTCGCTTTGATTCTGTTTTATCTTCCTGTATTTTAATCATGTAAAGCACTTTGCATTGTCTTTGTACTGAATTGTGCTATACAAATAAATTTCCCTTGCCTTGCCAAGGGATTGAGTGAATGAGGGGAAAAAATGTTTTAGGTAACAACAAGCAAAATTGATTTTAATTCAGGGACATGGGCGGATCTAGACAGGGGCCAACAGGGGCCAGTGCCCCTGTAAGACTAGTCCTGGCCCCGGTTATAACAAATACACACTGGAAGGAAAATAGGATGGTTGTTTTTACATATGTCACATTTTGACATCTTTAAAAAGCCATTTGAAGCAATTTAAAGCTTTGATGAAGGTAAAGATGCTCTGAATTTTTTTCTCTGTTAAAAAAAATCTAAATTAGCCCAAAAGAAGCATTTAAAAATATATTTATTTAACATTTTGAAGATAAATATGTTAACATCGGTTTTATCAAACCGTTAGCTTTAATATGAAACATTTAAATGCCCTCTAATAACTCATCAAAGCAACATTAGATCACCCGGCTTTCTGAGCTATTGCCACGGTGGTGCAGGTTCAGATCAGTCGGGTTGTTTCTCTGTTACTAATTGGATTTTTCTGGTCCAGTCTCTCAATCTTCAGAATTAAATCTGCCTGGCAGCTAAGTTGATCCCAGAGGTGATCATAACATCTATAGTTGCTTACGAATGTCATGTTTTGGTCTCTAGCACTTAATAATTCTCTCTTCTTCTCTTTTTATTCGTGTTTGTAGCACAGGCAGTAGTTTGATGCCCCAGAAGAAGAATGCGGACAGCCTGGAGCTGATCAGGAGTAAAGCAGGTCGCGTATTTGGCAGAGTAAGACAAAAGATTAGCTATAAACCTGCTTTATGTTCATTTATTGAATATTTTTGTTCCTCATGGCTTATTTATTGGACACTAAACCATTTTGGGTATTAATGCAGAAACTCATTATAAACCTCTCTGTTTAAAGATCATATTAAATAATATTTCTAAGAAAATGTATAATTACTTTTGCTAACCTGATTCCTTTGTTACGCTCACTTTGATTTTTTTCAGATATTTCATCGCTAACTTCTGTAACTTTTTAGAATTTCCTTTTGTTTGTGACGATCTGCGGTTTTCTATCGGGCATAGCCTTTTTCTTTAGCTACCTGTTTTTTATTTTTGTTTTCCAGTGTGCGGGATTCATGATGACTCTAAAAGGTTTACCCAGCACGTACAACAAGGACCTGCAGGTTTTAAATGCTATTTCTCTCTACACTTTATCTTAGTAGGAAAAAGGTTCCCTTTTTGTCTTTAACTCCGTGTTGTGTTTGTGCTTTCCATGTTATTCCAGGAGGACAAAGAAGCCATGTTTGACTGCTACGATACTGTCCATGCAGTGCTGCAGGTGGCAACAGGAGTCATGTCGACTCTGAAGGTGAGAGATCTGTTTCTTTGCTACTTTTAGCTAAATATATCAAAGACAACTGAAATGATCCAATATTGATTGACTGAAGCACTTTATTTGCACAATGCAGGGGATAAAATGAAAATACAGTGAGACAACAATACAACACAGAGAGGAAATAGTTTGAGCCTAAACACAATCCCTAAACAGAAAAGTACCCCACAGAGCTCTTAAAAATAAAATGGTAGTGCTAAATAATTTCCCTCAGCTGTTGTCATTAGTTGTCAAAATTTTTTCTACAAGAAATGTTTTTCCTTTTGCTAATTCGGAAATTTGAAAAGCTTGAATATGCCTAGCTTTGAATAGTAACAGCCGTCATGTCATTTAATTATTTAATTGATTGTCATAAAAAAATAGTAAATCTCTTAAAATAAATACTTTGTCTGATCTGGTGACGTGTTTGAGATTTAGAAATGTCTGTCTTAGAACTCAGAAAATAACTAGAATTCATTCTTTTTTTATCTACTGTCAAATTGGATGAACCTCTCACATTACCCACGGTCAACTTTGATTGGTCGATCAGTCCAATGTGAGGTCTCATCTCCCTAAAGCGAAGGACAATCCTTCACTCATCAAACTGTTTCCTGTTGGATTAAGGAGAACTGATTCATTTCAGCATCTGGTTGCAGTAAATCATAGAATTTTTTTTTTGACACATTTCCCACAATGTATACATGCTGCTAAGGATGTTATACTGCTAAGGATCAGCTTATCCCAGTAAACCCAGCAAGGTTATTCAGGGAATTTTCTAGTGCCAGTAGCCTACTGCTATTGGAGCAAAGGACCATCAAACTAATGAGGTGAGACAAGCTGACCTGATATGCATGTCTTCACTTCTGCTAATTATTAGATTTCAATCATTTTTTTAGACTTAGACAACTTTTTTTGTCTTTTTGTATACACAGAGGGTATACTAAACGAAATTTTGTTTTATAAAGCTTTCAGAAAGTTTTGAACATTTGCTCCCTTATTATAAAAAATGTAATTAAATTTTTGGTAATAAAGCAAAAATCACCTTTTTTCATAAGCTCAAATAAAAAATAAATGCAAATTTATTGTGCTTACCATGCTATGAATTGTGGTAATTTTAGATATATGTTTGTCCTGAGAAATAAACCAAATCTATTGCTTCTTTTTTTTTCAGTTACATTGTTGCTCACTGGATAGAAAAAAGTAACATTTTTCAGATTTAATAATTTCATAATCATCATTGTTATAAATTAAGCCTCATATCACAAAAAACTATAAACAATAAAGGTATGCAGCCTGGAATAAGCACCTTTTATTAATTAAAAATCCAGTAATTTTTTTTTCAGAAGGACATTTTTAGGGGGAATATTTATCCCCCTATTAAAAATACTGGATAAAAAGCCATACCATTACCACCCCTGTAGTATTCTGAGGAAGTATTAGTTACTTACCTGGAACAATCTTATCAAGTTCAAAAACATCTGTTTAATTTATAAAATCAGACATGGTTTAGCACCACCTCCACTATGTGACTTTGTACAGTTCAGATCCAGTGAGGTCAGGGTAACCAGAGGGGCAGTGAGGGAAGACTGCATCATCCCCCGGAGAAAAACAGCCTTTGGTCAGGCTGTCTTCTCCGGAAGAGCATCTCAGCAATGGAACACAGTGCCAGAAACCATCAGAGACTCTTTGTCATTCTTTTCATTCAAAAAGAATGCAAAAAAATGGCTTGTAGAGAGCCAAATTTTTGGGCACTAAGGTTTTCTATGTATTTAAATAATTTTACAATAATTTTTTTATTATTTTACATGAATTTTATTTCTTAACCATAATGTTTTTTATGTAATTGGTATTGTAATTTTACCTTGTGATTTTATACTTTTATTTTTAAGGTTGCCTTTTTTATACCTGGCTGGGGGACTACTGGTGAAAATTAGCCCTCCTTAGCTAACTCGGGTATATTTACATTGTTTTATTGTTGATTAATGTACACTGTCCCCTTACAAATAAACAATAAATGAAAAAATGAGATGAAATCCAGCTAAAACCTAAAGAACTTTTGATATACATTGAGGATAACTCTATTTTTACTTCACAGATGTCAACATAATGAGGTGTTTATAACGACATTGAATTAATATACCAGACTGCTGTATTTCAGATCAACCAGAATGTGATGGAAGCTGCCCTCAGTCCCGATATGTTGGCTACAGATCTGGCCTACTACCTTGTGAGGAAGGGGGTGAGTTAAACCTGAAGAATGTTTTTAGCAAAGATGTTCATTTTAGTCTGGGTGTATTTAAATGTACTAGGTACTAGGTAGGTTCAAAGAAATTAAAACGATTTTAAAATTTAGATGTTAATGTTTTTGTTTTGACTCTGCTCTCTGTTACAGGTGCCTTTTAGAGAAGCCCATGGTCTCTCTGGGAAAGCTGTGTTTACAGCGGAGTCTAAAAACGTCTCCCTGAACCAACTCACTGAGGCAGATCTTGTGGCTGTCAGGTAGTTACTGTGTTTGGATCAAAAGCCAACTTTATGCACAAACATCTCATTGTTTAAAAGTATGTTCTTTGTTTGTTTGTGTGTGCCTATGAACTTTAGCCCTCTGTTTGGAAGTGATGTATCTGCAGTGTGGGATTACAGAAGCAGTGTGGAGCAGTACAGCGCCCCTGGTGGAACCGCCAAGAGTAGCGTCATGACCCAGGTGGAACACCTGAGGAACTGGCTAAGAATAAAGTCGCAGTGACTTTTTCTCAATGCCACTGTCAGCTGTCAGACCTACTAATCACTTTGGCATATTTATCTCTGGATACTATTGTTAATTATATTGGCTGTGTTTGAATCCGGCGGCTGAGTCCTCCGAAGAACAGATTCGTTGACCGATTACATCATAGCGGCGCAGTGGCCCCTGTTTAAATTCAAGAACTCCTTCATATGCATCTGACAAATTCAGCCTTCTTTTCACCTGCTTTTAAGGAAGGGTCTGGACTACCTTATCCCATGATTCATTGCGAGTCGAAGCAAGCAGGCCGCTGCTTGCAGTACGGACATATGCGAATAGGTCCCTATTAAAATAATAAAAATAGTTCATTTAAATTGTTTGGAAGTCGGATATGTCACGGTAATTTTTGGTTTATTGAAAGCTTTTAACTGGATTGCCTGACGTTTAAGCACAGATTCCAAAATTGTGCAGTGTGGGGATTACAAATTTGTAATCTGTGTTGCTGCTGAAGCTCCTCAAAAAGGCGACAGAGTTTACGGTGAGTGACGGGCAGCGGCAGATGGAGAAGGCCGGACCTGTTTGAATCTAAAGTCGAACTTTTGCAGCGTCCTTATTTTCACAGCCTGCGAAGGACCAAGTCCAGACAGGCCGGGTCCCTCGGAGGACGCAGAAGCCGAAATCAAACACACCCATTGTCTTACCTGATCGGTGATCAATAACTGATTAAAGAAAGGATGATGTCACAGACTTCCTGTTATGATTTATTTCCCCAAATTAAACAACTGGGTTTTTATTTCTTTATAACTTTTTAAAAAACACTGTATCTGGATACAATACTGTTTTTACATGATATCGAGACTAAATACTAAGGTTGTTTGCATAGTTTTGCTATTTTTAGAATTCTAATTTCTAAGATTAATTTGCACGTTAGAGGAATAATACCTAAAATAATCTGAACTATTGTCAAACTGTTATATTTAGGTCACTTATTATACATATTATACACTTATTTAACCTCTGATTCTGTTCAGGAAGTACCTTCCATGTTGAGATTGAGAAAGGTGAGTTTTTTGTGTTAATTAATATGTTTGTATGCCTTTAATTATTTGGCGTTTTTTATTCCTTGGGTATCAAGTATTGATATAGAGTTGGAAATTTTAGTGTTTTGACAACCCTAGTATTATAGATATTGCAGCATTGTCTATTGAAATTACTAAGGCCTTTTTCTCTGAAAGAGTTCACTGATTTTAGGAAAAGAAAAAAATATAAAACAATTAAATGTTCTGTTTTTCCTAACAAAATGGATGGCGTAAATTAAAGAGTTAATCTTATCTAAACACACAGATATTCAACTAGAGAAGTCAAGTATAAAAGTACAGATACCTTACTCAAGTAGACATTTTGGTTATCTATACTAGGGGCAGATTTACAGTAGGAAATTTTGGGCCCTAGGCAAAGGGGCCCTCTGAATTGAGAAGACAACACATAAAACAGACCCATTATAGCCATACATTATTTTTTCTATGTTTTGTCCCTCTGTTCTTGTCACTTTTCTTGTTTTTGTTTCCCTCTCTATGTTTTGTACTCAGCTGACTTTTCATGCTGTCTCAAAAAGAATGAAATACTTTCCCCAATCACTAAGCTCACTTAGCTGATTTCTCCTTCCCGTGTTTCCAAAAAAATAACAGCTAAAGTAAATAACTCAGCCCTTATTTTCACTGTAGACAAGCCATTATCTGCTTATCTGTTCTCAATTTTTCATTTATAACATTTTTCATTTTATAAATGAAATAATTTTGCAGTGTGGACCAACGTAGTGGAGGTACATTTTCCCATGAGACTGGGTTGTAATAGCTGCATGAATCATGACAGCAGACAAGATAGAGGAGAGCAGGAGGCGGGGTTATGAATCTACTTGCTCTGGAGAGCAGAGTTAGGTGCTTTTATATGTTGCAGTGATAGCAGCTCTGGAAGCACCTTAAGCTAGATACTAAAAAGATCATGCTAACAAGCTCACGCTGAAGTGTTTAGATGTACACACAGGATACAGAAGGGGCTAAAGATTAAGTTATATGCAAATTAAGGATATAAATGACAGAATTATAGCATGTATTACAAAAAAAAGGGAAAGATGAAAACATTTTATGTCAAAATCTGTCAATAAGTGTTGTTTAGCTCGCGCTAAACCACAATAGCAATTGTTGTAAGAGAAAACATAAATGTTCAACCGTTGTCCACACCTTGAGATCCTCAAACACAGATTGGTTTTTACAATAGGAGACAGTTAGTGATGGCAAGATAAAAGGCACAATAGGTTACATATTAAACCCCTTAACATTAAAGTTTAGTTACACCAGTAATGAATGGTTCTTAGATTTTGAACTGATGTAAACAGCAGCCCTGATTTTATCTAAAAATGTTGTCAAAAATTTGTTGTATGAAGATTTGAAAACTCCCTGCCAAATAGTATTTCTACCTCTCACATTTACCCCAATGAGAATGTCTGGAACTTTCAAGACTATGGCCCAACTGTGAATCCCATGAAAGGTGTTTTCACTCATGGACTACCAAACAAGTATGACAATACTTGGAAATGAGTTGCTATTGTCATTCCTCTCTGTTAATTTTTAAGTGAAAACTATAACATTAATGTTTACTTTCAGTAGAAACTAATTTTAATGTGGCCCTATTACTTGTAGTAAAAAGCTGGATGGAGCTCAGCATATGACAGATTTAAGGCTTTAAAGAGACATTATGTATTTTTTTTACTGAAACATATCTTTAAAACAGACTTTTTATTTGACCCTTTAAAACTAAAAGGTAATTTAATGAGCAGTTGTTAAATGGGGCCGATGTAGCATTTAGTTATCACCTATTATATTCAAGGTGGATTTTGTGAATACTCTAAAGCAACTGGCACTCAAATCTTCTAAAAGATGGCAACTCCAAATAAGGTTAAAAAAAAGTAAAAAAAAAAAAAAGTATTAACGCGAGCTACAACAATAAGAAAATTGCTGCACTTCTGTGTTTTGGCCACAGGGGGCAATATCATTAGAAAACTCAGTTTCTCTGGCTGGTGCGGGAAATGAGTTGTAATATAGTAAAGTCTTTGGTACTCTATAGACCCGTCTTATTGGACTTTACAAGATTTTAGCTGATCTTCTGCTTACTTTGAAATGCTTAAAATGAGGTTCAAAAACAGGATGGACAAAATGTTTTTGATGTAAAATTAAGTGCATCTTGCATGTAGATAATGTGTGTTTCCAATATACAAACAATGACTCACACTTGCGAGTTGGAAGGAAATTCATACATAGATTTATTCATTTTTTTCACAAAGAACAATCAGGAACAATGGCATACTAAATAAAATCCTAAAGGAAAGAGTTTTGTAAGTCACCTACTTAAACTCTACCGGTGTCCTATGGAGTACAAATCAAGCTTTTCCATGAAATCCTCAAAATATTTTGTTAGAGAACATTTAAAAAAGCAAACAGCATCACTAAGACCGAGGAACACAGAATCAAGATAAGGGATAAAGAAGTGAGGATGTTTAAATCAATATTAAATTCTAAAACAATAAATTTGAACACCACACTAAACGCTGGTCATCATGCAAAATGGAAAATACTAAGACACAACAGGCATGAAGGCAAGGTCCATTGCATACACATACAACCCTTGGCTCTAGAAACAAAAGTGGCTCATTGGATGCTCCAGTTCGGTTAATACTAACTTTAGCAACAAGTAAAATGAACAATGCTTTTAAATATTAAGGTATTGAAAAGGCTTGTATAGCTCTGATTTATTGTGCATTTCCATGCCATACTTCTGTATTATTTCTATAACATTTCTAGAGAAAGGATTTTCTTTTTTAATTATTTGTTTTTGCCATAGCAGGGTAGGGTGTGCGATTTATTGATGTCATTAAAAAAATGTATGCAATCTTTTTCTGATATATACTTTAAAATAGGTTAATTATTCTGGCTCTTTGGGGACTCTCTATAAATGTTGTTTTATTGGAAAGCAACTTCTTTTTCTCTGAAGCCAGGGCGTTATATATTCTAGATAATATGTATTAGGATAATATGCATGACCAGAACTGAGAAAACACTGAACCACATATGGATCAGACTTCTTTGAGCTGTACCCGACTTGGAGCTAAATACTACTCTGCCATCCAGAGGCTGCGTGGGTCTGAAGATGTCTGTCATAGGTTGACCTGTCCAAAATCGGCACTGATTAACTATGGCGTCCAGCTGGGGAGAAGATAGAAAAGTTTCCAAGATGAGGAT